ACTGCTGCAAATAATGGAAATCTAAACTAAAATAAAATATTCAACTTAATATCATGCCATCAAATGAAAATGATGGCCCCTAAAACTACATACTATTTTCACAAAAACAGAAAACAGTTATGGTGCAAGTAACTTTATCCTCTCAAGTGCATAGACTGACAGTACGATGGATATCTATAATTGAATTGGACTACAATGTTTGCCGACAATTTGTTTCTCCCAATTTTGAAGATGTTTTCTGTTGAATAAAGGTGTGCCTATTCATTTTTATCTCACCGAAAACAATGAGGAAAAAAGTTAAGAAAGAACTTGAAAGAACTGCAACATGACAAGATAATTTTGGGCTTGTGGTTTGAAAAATAAATAAATAAATAAAATGTTTTGAATCTCAAAAAAAAAATAAATCAAAAAAATACAGCATCTCTAATATATATTTAAATGGCAGTTGAAAAGAGACATTTAATCAGATGTAATAATAATAATAAAAACATCTAACTTGGAGTGCCTATGTGTCCATATATGCCTTTTCTGTTTCTTTCTCATGTCATAACCGACTAGTTAGGCTACACGTTAGGAGTTATCAAACCAATAGCCTAAAACTGTATCACCATCCACATGATGTAGACCTGATGGTGTTTTGTGTGCATGTGAGTGTATGGAGTGTGTATTAATTGTGGCGTACAAATGTGTGCCCTATTGATTTGAACTTTCGTGTGCTAACGTCAATAAAGTTGCATTCAATAAGAGACCCGTGGTTCAGTTAAGCAAAGCATTAATATTTTAAAACGCACTGGAGGAAAACAAAAATGCGACTAGCGTTATTTATAAACTGCTTCCTTGAAAAGTAATAGTTGCGTTTTTTTTGGAAACGTGTAAAAGTCAAGTACAGGTCCTGATTTCTACAACTAAATGTAGAATCAGCTGCTCTGGAGAGATCTCACCTGAGGTAATGCTGTTATGTGGATATGCAGTGGAGGTCAAACAAAAAGGCTATCTGAGCATCTTTTCAGAGAATAAATCATTATGAGCCACTTGAGACAAAGCAAATGGCACTTCATATGGTACAGAAACTGAGGTTGTAGCTATCAGCGTCGTTTTCCATCATTTCTTAGTGTAGCATTTCAATTTCAACCAGAAAAAAAAGACAAATAAAAAGATAAACAGTAAAATAAATATAATATATATTATTTGTATATGTATAGATTTTTTCCTCCATATAAAGGTATCTCTTGAAATTTTTGGAATGCAGTTTAAAAACAAGTTTACAGAGAGCACAAAAACAATAGAAGGTTAACATTTCCACCTGTCCCATATTCTCCCCTTCAAACCTCCATTTGTGTTTTTCACAAAAACACCCATGATGGTTAAATCGCATTTCAGAGTACAGGAAAAAGGTATAGTGTCTTATCTACAGTATCCTTTGATATTTGCCTTGACGATCAACTTAACTTAAAAGATGGGACCCGTTATTGGCAAGATGCTAATGTAAAGCGAAATTTTTGATTGTATTCAAAAAGTTAGATTTTCTGTACCTGAATGAAAAGGGCGTAAATATTGGTCAGTCAGACAAATGAAATGCCTCGCTTGCCATCCCTCTCGTAGAAGACAAAACAGAGGGTGAAATAGGAAAATAAAATTAATTTCCCAGAGTTTCAACTGCTCCTTTTCTACGTGCCCCTGAATGGTATTTAAGGATGTAGCACAGAAAGGTGCGTTTATTCCCGAGGATGAGGTATATTGTGCAAAGACTGTAGTTAATATAACATATCTATGCACGTCTTGTACAGGTAGTTATGTCTGCATCGTTATCTGACTGACAAATATTGCAAACCCTTCTGCTGAATCTATCCTGAGATACGAAAGTACTGAAGGCTACAGGTGTACATTTCAGAGAAACGCAAAAAAAAATAAAAATTGAAACACGAGCAGCAAGAGAAAAACTAAAACAGTCTGTTCAAAGTATGAAATGTGAAAGTGCCATATTTTCTAAACAACTAGTTTAAGAAAGTATTCGTAAATGGTTTTACATTCATTTGAGTAAAGACGGTATAATTTCTTTGAGAGGAGGATGTTTTTGGACAGGGGGAGTCGTTAACCCTGTAATACATTAATCATTAAAGTCAAATTAAATAAATATGTTGAAATGGCATGCACCATAGTGAATCAGACAGCTGATGATAAATAAAGGTTGCAGAATGTACAGTAGCGTTGTGAAAGTTCAAAACTTTCTAGACTAGCCATAGAGAGCTGATCGTTTGAAACTTTTACTTTTAAGTGCTGCAAAACATCTTCCAGTCATAGCCATCAGTGCAATAATTTATAAGTGCCAATTATAGGGGCAAATATTCAATTATAATAGAATCTGTTTGTATTAGTAGTACTAACAATCTAGTTGTAGCTACTGATCTACTACTAATTTGCTACTAGATGCACTTCAAACTAATATTCATGTCTTGTTTTCCAGTAAAAATTGTATAGGAGAATCCAAAATTTATACTTAAAACAAGAAAAATAAATTTCCCAAACAAGAAGTAAGAAATAAGGGTAAGACAAATGTAATTCAAGGGTTTCAAATATTCTAAGAAACCAAGAAATCTTTAGATCTTTAGGTATTTTTACTGTAAAACAAGACAAAAATACTGGTTAAGATAATGTTTAAATGGCAAGGGTCAAGCACAGCTGAGTACTATTTTACATCACATTGATTAATAAATAAATCTGATTGATTAAGGACCTAACTCGTTTCTAATTAGACACTTCAAACGCTCAGCATTGGTAAAGTGTTGGTGCATTTGATGCCAGATGACCTAAAGGGATTTACACAGTAGAGCTTATAAGTATGAATATGATTCTATTTCTTAATACATAAAATTTTCCTTCAACTTGTTTCATGTAGAAGTACAGTAGCATGTGATCATAATTTATAAACTGAACCAAATATGTCACATCAATGGTTTACTATTGTATGTTGCATTGATTAAAAATAATCAGATCTCTACTAATTTCAGTAGTGTCTCCAGACATGGCTATAATTGCAATGCAACTTCAATAAACAAAGCTAACAACACTAACATTTTTGCTTAGTGAGATAATAATTAAAATGACAACCATACTTACAAGTATAGCATTTTAGGAAATATATACAATTTATACAAGCCTAATATAATGTGGGAAATTCACTAGGTCTAGAACTAAATGATAAGGGTGAGCCCAGGACAGTGTTCCCGGTTGTCCACTTTGATGACAACCCCGCCACCAAGTGTCAGGTTATAAATAGTTAATCAGCCTCCACTGAACTGGTGCATGCCATTTACTTAAATGATTCAAATTAAATAATGAAATAAATAAAAGGTACATTTCAGAGAGTCAGTTTCATCATCAGAAACCCTGAAGTTTGAAGTATAACTTTTGTCACAGACTGGGTGAGCACCAGGCAGTGATATATACCAGAATGCCCTTCAAAACAACATCAAAGTGGAGCATGCCATTCCAAAAAGCCTTCTCTTTGAAATCTTCACAGATCTATGCGCTTTCTCGGTTTTATATACATCAGACACCACAGTTTAGATTTGGAAAAGGGGCAATGTGACAATAAACAGTGAGGCAACACTAGACAAATCTGAGAATTCAAGCTGTCGATCACTGTATACTGAAGAGGTCATTTTTTCAAAACAAAATGAGCACGTTTGGGTCTAAGCTGCAGGACGCCGGGGGTCGTTGAAATGCTCACCCTTTGATCTTGCAAGTCTCCTTTATGCTATCTGCTACTGCAAAAGCTACTTTAAAACACTCCCAAACATATTCGCTTTTATTTTTAAACAAAGTGCTATTTTCAGAGAGATCTCAGAAAAGTCCCAACTGGCCAGGTGTTTCGAATGATAACATCCTACCAATATCTGCAATCCATGGCTCAGCTCGACCCAACCTGCGCCCGGTATAAAGCCCTGCCCCTGACCCAATTCATTGACTGAGAATTGTGTCATAGGTTCCAGTTCAAGTAGGTAAGATGCATTGTTTCTCTAAAAACATGATCGCTATATTTGTCTCAGTTGCCCTGAGTTTTACATGAGGAAATGAAACTATTCAGAGACAAGAATTGTCTCTCTGAAAGAATGCTAATTTATAATATAACAGGGTTATTTGGTCATAACCCTACCTACATTTCCCCCCACCTATGTTCCCCAAAACCAACCCTCTGCGAAAAATGCTCTTCTTTTTATAAATATACACATCAGCAACTGACTATAAGCAGCGACGAGGGAGCAGCCAGAATCAGCCAGAAGTTGACTGCGTGCACCCTCCCTCGATTAAATTTAGTAGAAAGATGTGAATCGCAAACACGTTCCTGTCCTGCGTGGCTTAAGTCGGCATTGTCCCTTCATGGGCGTCGAAATCCTTTTAAGAGAGAGGCTCTCGCTAAGAGTAGAGTACTGTAAAATGAGCATTATGTGGTATGCCAGACAGAACAGTAAGTGCGTAATGCAAGCAGTGTCGAGGTAATCAGGTCTAATTGCCAGATTTAGGCTCTGGCGAGCGCCAGACTGAGAGTGTAGTGCAAAAGAAAGCGCTAGGGTTAAAGAAAAGTTTAGTTACAGTAAAGTAAAAAAAAAATATTTTCAACATCACAAACATGCATCCCTGAATGACTAATCTTAAGCTTCATTTTTTTTAAATGGACGTGTCTAATTCTTAGTCTGTTTAAATGGTGCAGAATATAAAAGGAGGAAACTACAAAGAGTTGAAAGCAATTGTTTTACCTGTTAATAGAAAAACGGGCCTAGGATCGATCCCTGGTGAGAATCCAACTCCATTTGAAATAAATTAGTTTTAAAGATCATGAATTATTTCATAAACCTACCAATCAGAGGAGATAAATTCATTTTTGAAGGGTCAATTTCCAGCCTTACACGTAACCCTTGAAACCCCGCTTCTCGTTTCTCAAAATGGCATGCCGTCCAAAACGCATGAGCACTAATGGCGCAGCACGCAAAGTTCAGATGAAGGGGGCGAACAAAGGGTTAATCTGCTTGCTTTTTTTTTTTTTATAAAATGTCTCTCTGTCGATACTCTCTTATGGCTTTAGTACGCATTTGTTGCTTTATGTTGTAAAAAAACTTCAGCAAATGCTTGCAGTGTCAATGCGACCAGTGATAACTGCCAATTTGTTTCTTATCCCCAGTTATCAGGCTTAAATCCTCCCATGAATTCCTGCAGTTGTGCTCACCCAGATCACCCAGAAAATTGGCACAATTAAAGCCCCATCCTCAATTCATTTTAGTTTTTTGTGTCTGTCAGAATCTAAAACGTTTTCCGTTTTATGAGGTGTTCTGTGTAATCTACTCGGCTTTGTCTCCTGTCCCCTGCAAGACATCCACTTGCGTTGCAATGGGTGTGGTGGCGGGCGTTGATGTGGATTCGGTTTCGGCGGTGATCCCAGAGTCCTGCCCCTCTGCCCTCATCATCAGTTTAAGCTTTTTCTTTGGTGGGTTCTTCAGGGTGCCCAACCTCTCTTTCACCTTGTACTCCAAGGTACTGTGGGGAATACCGTAGATGTTCTGCGCCTTCGAAACGCTCATCTTCCCACCCATCACCACAGCAATGGCTTCTTCTAGAATCTCGCTGTTGTACTGCCGATAACGTCCCCTTTTCTTTCGGGGTTGCTTGGAGCCGGTCGGGTCTGCCTCTGGATCTGATGTCGGGTACTGAGGTCCCAAAGTTGGCTGTTCGAGGTCTGCACCCCAGTACTCACCCACGGCTCCCCCATCGAGAAGGCCTCCGAGAGCGGCTCTGCGACTCTGCTTTGGCAAGATGGCCCTCAGCTTCCTACTGAGCGCGTTCTCCGAGTGCACGTTGCCCAAAGCTATAGAGCTGTAACTGTAGAGATCCGAGGCGTTCCCATGGGAGTCCCAAGACAGATCCATGCCTCTGACTTGCGGGATCTTCAAGTCCACTGGAGGGGAATGTCCAGGTTCTTTCTTTACCGTGATGGAACCGGTGTCATGGGACTTTGTACCCTTGGTGAACATGCCTTGGTTCTCCTGGAAAAGAGGCATGTCGTTTAGGTCGCCGCTAACTTGTTTGAGCTTCAGGAGGCCGTCTAGATGGGATTTCCCCCATATCCCATCACGGGAAAGAAGGGACTGGGCTTGGCTGTTGAGGAGACCCGTGGACTCTAGGCTAGCCAAAGAAAGAGGTTGGCCAAGGAGGTGATGTTTCTGGCTCAGGAGTTCCTCTTTTATGAGGAGCGAGCGGGCCAAGGGTGGCTTGAGGGGCCCAGAACCAATACAGTTCTCCCTTATCCCATCATGCAAGCTTCTCGGTGGCAAGCCATCCTCATCATCAACATCTCGATAGTTGTGATCAGCTCTCTGGGAATGCCTAATTTATGGAAAGATAAAATGTTCAGATGTGAGAATGTGGTTTGCTATTGGAAGGAAGTCTTGTACTTCAGTCTTGTAAAGGAAAGGGACAATTACTTTGTCTGCTAGAAAGTGAATAGGGCACTTTCCATTAAAAAGGTACACTTTGGTGTCCCATTACTTTTTTGTAAAAATTAAAAAATACCATGTTTTTGTGTGTGTGAGAGAACTATTAGATCACTGGATTTAATAGATCTCAACTGTATCCAAAAATTAAAGTCAAATGTTATAATTTTCACACAAACTGATGAATTGATAAACAACTATAGTAAAAACTATTTACAATGATTCATTATTTTAAATAACCATAAGCTTTTTTTTCACAACAATTTGCAATCAACCCTCTTACCACGTGACTTCTCCTAATTACAGCATGGTGACATTTTAAAGGCCTTTCCACACTGAGCACGAAAAAGCAAAACGAATATCGGACACGATGACGCACTGGAATAAAACAACAGATTCCTATGGATGCTTCCACATAGACCGCGAACATTCACGCACCGAAAATGCGAATGTTTTTTTTCGAACCAGTCCAACGAATCTTTTCAGTTTCGCAAAGTGAAAACACGGGCCGTCCAATAAGATTTGAGCATTACATCACGTGGCCAGAGCAACTGCTGTTTAGCGGTGGCGCTAAAAGCTCAGAAGACTATATTGAGTACGAGCGTAAAAACACCGAAGTAGAGGACTCAGAGTCAGAGCTTGTTCACTCTCTAGATCTTCCGTATTAAAAAAATCGAGTGAAACATTTTTCTACACATGAAATATGAAAGCAAATAGACATATGATTATGACGATATATTTTCTGTATGTGTTTTGTATGCAGCTCATGGTATTTTTTATAACAATAAAGGATGTTTATGACAAATTTTAAGCAGCGTTATTAAACGTACAAAGAGTGCATGTCTGCCTATTACAGAATCGAAGTCAACTATAGAAGTTATTACATGCACTCGATGATGGTTTAAAGTGGGTTTTAAGCAAATACATTAATTACATACATTTTACATACAAGTGTAGCTTTATGCTAATTGTACCTCTATTTATATTTTAGGATGTATTCTTGTAAGCATTATAGATAGTTTGTGTTTCTGGTGTAGAACCAAACTTTATTTATCGTAATTTAATGCTCTATGTTGAGCAGTGGACGATGTTAAATCCATATACAAGATACATATCTGAGGAAAAATGCATTGCTGGTGACGCCACTTAGCGTGCGGGGTGTGAATTAGCAGAAGGCGATCAATCGTTTTGCGCTCGATGTGAAAGCACCGTTCCGTCGGCGATTCACCTCGCTTTTTTGCATCGCGCTCAGTGTGAAACGGCCTTAAGACATTGACTGAATTTATCAAGCCCAATCATTCAACCATTAACAAAGATATTGCAAGAAAAAATGTTCAATCACGTTTTCTTCAATTTATAGGAAATAATTGTTTCAACATTCCAGTTGATAAACTTTTTGAATGAGTAACAAAGGTTAGAAAATTTAGATTAAGTTAATCTCTCAATGAAGTAGTGGGGTTAGCTAGTTTGCGACCAAATATTCAGTGACAGATTAATTTATCAATTTCTAGCATTTTTTCATTTAATCCATTTTGTCTTTTAAATGACATATTTTTATAAAGTTTCACAGTACCATTTTGTATCTTTCAGAGAACAAAAAGTATGATTAGGCTGGAAACTGAAGGTCCCACAAGGGGTTGTCCATAAACTATCACCATTTTTCTCTGATGACACTTCATGTAGATTACTCTGGCTCGTCTGTCCCTTCAAGCATCAGCTAAATTATGAAATTTGATTCCTGGCCATGATTCAAATAAAGCTTATTACTGTAAAAACTGCATGTACACACCATTCTCTACCAGATTTATACAAATTTCACTACATGGAGGTACTTTTGAGTTTTTTTCCTTTCTTTTTTTATATATCCAACTAACAATAATTTAACCCTAAAAGAGTTAGTATCATTTTAAGGACACCTATTATCTTTGCATTATATAGTTCGGGTTAAAATCCTTACTAGTAAATCTAAAATTCTTCAAAATTGTTTAAAATATATCAAAATACTTCTTACCCCTTAACTGTGGGCATGACTGAGAAACCATGAGAGCTTTTCAGTGAGACACTACCATGACTGTGGTTCTTCTTAGTTGAGAGGTCAAGGACTCCATCTGTAAATAAAAACATCATATTCTAAGACCAAACTAAGGAAAATCAATCAACCAAACTTAATCACACCATCTAGTTTTCTTTTAACTGTATAGATCCAACTTTCTTTTTGATATTTTATACTGCTGAACACTTAGTTCTTTACATTCTCTTTCCGAGGTTCTGGTTTTTGTGCTTATATAATCAATATGACTAATAATTATGATGATTATTATAATTAAATAAAAATATTAAACAAAATAAAAAATATTTCATTATTAAAAATGAAAAAAATATAGTATTTAAAAAATATATATATGATAATTCGAAAATAATAATAATATACTGCACAGTGTCCTGTTAACATGCAGGTGGCCTATAACTATAAATCATTAGAAGGGTTTTATTATAAAATATTATATTATGATAAAATTATCTAATTTCTTAATTTTTGAAAGTTCATGTTTTTAATATGAAAAATTAGCCTCTTATACATCTCATTTATGCATTGAGGGGGAAAAAAACTATTGGAGAAAAACTATTGGACTAACTATTGGAGAACACTGGAGAAAAACATATGGTTTATTATTTTTTCTTAATTTTACCCAAAACAGGGTGGCATGAGCATTATGGAGCACTATAAACTTGCTATTTATGTTTCATAGCGTATTATAACTTATTTTTGGGCAAATCAAAGGTCAAATCTTTGATTATTTTCAGCATGTCAGTTCTTTTTAACTGTTTAAAACACTTATTCAACAATTAATTCGCTTCACTTTTGACACATTTCCGACACTTGAAAATGTACATGCTTTTTTTGTTTTTTTTAGAACAAAAAATATTTGTAGGTAAATTTATGTTTATTATTATTTATTGATATTTCTGTGAATATAGATAAAAAAATATTTTATATTTATAATGTTAATGTTAGTGGAAACCATTCCTTGATCATTTTTTAATTGAACCTAAAACCTAGGTAAAATGTTACAAATATATTCCAGTTTTTCAGTTGCCTATATGATAACTTGTTTTCAGAGTTCTGGCATGAAACTCTAGATGGCGCAGTCCGATAGGTCTAACTCAATCTGACCTAATGACACCATTATCACATGGCACAGCTGATTGGTTCTCTCCTGTATCGGTAGCCAATGAGTTCGCTGCTCAGCATTCAAATATATGACTAGTGCTTGCCGTAGCAGTTGCAGCTTGCTTCAGAAACCCTCCACCTTCCCCAGCTCCACCTGTATAGATCTGCTACGGTGTGATTCTTGTATGTTATATGGGGGTTATTCATATGTGTTATATGTGCAGCAGCAGTATTTCTTACATGCTCACAGCAGCATGTTGTGGATGTATTGGCAGTAGCAAGTCTCAGTACTTGCTCTGCAGCTGCAGCGTAGCAGATCTATTCCGCCAAGACCAAATACATTAACATTGTCATGTACATTACCATGCCAATACCTCTGAGAGTTGTCATGACAGACCTTGAATTAAGTTACTGGAAAATAATTTTGCTGCTGAAATGTGTTGAGGATGTTTATTTATTTATTTTTTTTAAAAGACTAATATGGGTTAAGAAAAGTTTTTTTGCAGCATACGGCAATCCACAGATTGAATTAAACACGGCTCTGACCTTGTTCGCTGGGTTCTGTCTCTGGTTTCTTGACGGTGAGGTCCAGTGGGGAGTCCTGGTCTGCCATGAGAAGCTTGCTGAGGACGGGATTCTGTGCGGAGGCAGCGGCGCCGGGACCGGGTGTGGAGGCGTCCGGCTCCAGCGAGGGCGCTTTCGGCAGGCTTTGGTCCTTGGTGCCGTTGGGCTGGGGCTGGGACTGGGGTTGGGGTACGTCCTGAGTTGAGCTGGTTTTTGAGGTATATTCGGCAGCGAACTGTCGGATCATTCGCTGCATGATCTCACGAGCCACTAGAGGAATGTGGGGGTCTGTAAATCTCGGGAGGTCTGCTGAGGGAAAATATATGAAGGAATAAATATATTACTTGTTTTTTGAAGATACAGGGAAATAGATTTTGGCTACAAAACATAAAAAGTCTTTCCTTCAGTGATATTTACTGCTCACACTTTACACCAGTGCTATTTTAGTATAACTGAGATATTATTATAGTTTGAATCATTTAAAAATGTTTTACATTTTAATTCATTTTTATTAGTTTGTAATTAATTTCCGTTTATAAAAAGGAGAGTTCCGGTGCTTGATTCTGATTGGTTGAGCCACGTTCAAAGCTGTTGTAAATTACTCTACAAACATACACCTTTGTTTACTTCTGTGTGCTGCTCGGCAACCACTTTGTTGGAACCACAACTGTTTCTGAGGAACTACATTGTTTGGTGGAAGAATACTGTTTTTATTAATATCATTACACTTTACTTGCTCTGTTTTATTTTGTGAAACCTTACTACGTATATGGAATAACCGTTTTATAAAAGCAATAATCCCCGTGAAGCCGTGGTTTACAGTGAATTTATAACAGCTAAGGGGGTTTTAGGCACTCCGCTTCGCGTCTAACAACGCCCCTTAGCTGTTATAAATTCACTGTAAACCACGGCTTCACGGGGCTTATTGCTTTATTTGCATCGTTATATAATAGTTTTCATTTTTTATGTATATTATTGTATTTTTATTTCCGTTTTCAAGTTACACTAAGTGAAAATAAGTTTTTTTGTTTCAGGTTGTTTATTTTATTTCAAGTAACAATTTTTCTTTTAACGGTTTTAGTATTCGTTAACTATAATAACCCTGCTTCACACACATTTGAACAAATCTCTTGTATTTTGCAGTATTGTTATTGAACAGGCAGGTGAACATGATACAATAAGTTAATATTTGCTAAAACGTACTAAACGTACCTCTTGTCAATTTTTCTCTTATATGAATTTTATATCTTATAACACGGCATCATTAAACTATTTCACAATACACTTGGTTAGTGCCATTGTTAAAATCAAAGCCACTGGATATGGCAGACAAGTCTTTGAAAACATTTCCTACAGGGCAGTAAAGTCCTGCAGACCTCCAAAAAGGAAAAGCTGTTTCCTAAGTTCGTTTAGAGTAAAAAAAAACATCAAATATACACGGCCAGGAAGAGAAACAGAAGACTAAGAATATTTGAACATCAAAACACTTGGACATCCATATACATATGCTGTGTGTATAATCTGTGTGTTAAAATTTAAATTTGATTTAAACTTGCAAGGGCATTTAGGAATTGTCAAAATGAATATTTGCCATAACTATTTGAATTTTATTTTAAAAATCTATTTAAAAAGGACGTCAATTTAAATCACCACTTTAATTGCCTTTGTTTATATCGAAAAAAGAAAGAAAAATACAAAAATGCAGATTCTTCTGCAAAAAAAAAAGTATCTTCACTCTATCAACTACGTTGGTTTCATCTTGTGTAAAGTATAATATAATGCACGTCTTACCCTTTCTATAGAAGACAACATTGAGGAAATCCTCTGCTTGCTTCTCAAGTTTGTTAATGTTGGACTGCTCTTGTTTGAAGCTGTCTGCTTCTGATAAAACTTGGTTGTTCAAACCAACCAAATTTTCCTGGAGAGAAAAAAATTAAATAAGAGACTATAATTAATTTAAAAATCAAAATCAGACCTATTTGAAAATTCATGTACATTTGATAATCATACTTCATTACGAAGTCCAATATTGTACCAATGTACTTGTCAGATTACTAGCCTGTAAGATGTCTGCAAATTTGTGAATACAAAAGCTGTTCAATGTCAGAGAAAGAATAAAGCTGATTTATCGTTTGAGGTTTGTTGTAGAGAAAATCCCCAGGGCAAATGACAGACAGTGTTGTAGTTCCTTCACAGTCCATCTGTCACATCTGAAGATGTGTTGTCAAGTCACCGCTTAACAAAAACTTAAGTTATAATAATAATTACCGACTGATAAACATTGAAAGCTATAATAAAATATATATAAAGCTGTAATGAACATCTCCTATTTTTTTCTTTCAACCCCAATGACCCAGCTACTACAAACATATTTAAAGTGCTGCGTGGTTGAAAACATTCAATGACTCAGAGTGATATGTGGAATTGCTAATGCATTGTTTGTGGAAATATATAGATAGGAAATTAAGAGTGAGATTAATTACCTTCACTTTTTCACGTCTTAAGCAGCAAAAGAGACAATTTTCATTAAACGACCAATCTGACACACCCTCCGGCTCACAATCTGCAAGAGAAAATAAAACATATCAGTGCTGTCCTTTTATAAACAAACACTAAATACCAGTGTTGGGGAAAGTTACTTTTAAAAAATAATGCTTTACAATATTGCGTTACTCCCTAAAAAAGTAACTAATTGTGTTACTTAGTTACTTTTTATGGAAAGTAATGCGTTACATTACTTTTGCGTTACTTTTTAAATATGAACAGGGCTTGATTGTTTTTAATATAAGAAGTTCTATTTATAGCAAATATAAAAGCCCTTTCACACCAAAAAGTGTAATGAATAAACCTCAGGCCGAAGGAAAAGTAAATTCACGTCTGTACAGTAGAACACAGGAGAAGAAACACTCTTCAGCAATAAAAAAACAAAGCACAATTGTTAGATTATGTAAAGTCATTTTTGCTTATTAGTACGGTTGAACTGGATCAGCAAAGGTCAGCAGCAAAGACATCAGTTAATAAAATGGAATTAGATACATCTGTGTTATTTAACATATTTAATTATTGCAGGTTTGCGTCATATTCTCAGTTTGCATTTCACTGTTTTAATTCATTTTGATGAATACTAAATCTGTTTTTTTTTGTGAGTGGGATGAATTAATGCACATTCACATTTAGTCTAGAACTACAGTAACATCATGTTCACACAGCGCACACCAATATGGGGACAGGAGACTTGTCAGTCAATAAATGGGAAAACAAAGTAACTGGTGTTACTTTTTTGAAAAAGTAACTCAGATATGTTCTTGTAAATTAAAAAAAGTAATGCGTTACTTTACTAGTTACTTGAAAAAAGTAATCTGATTACGTAACTCGCGTTACTTGTAATGAGTTACCCCCAACACTGCTAAATACACTTTGCAACATATTACATCAAATATGTTGGCCAGTTATTAATAATAATGCATTTAAAAATAATAATAATATTCTGTGTTTTTTCCTGCACTGACAATTTTCAGTAGCATTCCAAATAATATTTTGGGTCACATATTTTTTTATTTATTATAATATGACCAAACAATAAAAATATAAAGAAAGAAGCTTTCCTTTTTTCGAGAAAACTTCAGAAATACATCTTCCGCTGGTTGCTCCCATGCAAAGGTCAGAAGCGTGAAACTGTTTTGTTACATTTGATTTGAGTTTGAAAAACTGAATTATTGCTCCTAATGCAAACTGCAATACAAGTGAACTTGTGTAATTTCAGTGCATACTAGGGCTGCACGATTCTTGCTAAAGTGTGAATCACGATTTTTCTCCATGGGAATTGAGATCACGATTCTCTTACACAATTCTAATTTTTTCAACCAAAATTTATTGCACTCAAGTACAAAAAAAAAAAAAAAAAAAAACAGGGATTGAACAGCCAGGAGGCAAGTAAATAATGACTGAATTTATATGTTTGGCTGAACTAACCCTTTAAACCCCCCAAATAGAAATTGTATGAAATATATGTATGCATTTATATTATAGTAGTACCTTGAAGAAATAAACTTGAAGAAATAAGCAGCTTTATTGAGCGTCTGTGCCCAAGACACAAAAAGGGATTTACAAAAATCACATTTACATTTATGCATTTGGCAGACACTTTTATCCAAAGTGACTTACAGTGCTCTTATTACAGGGAGCCCAATCCCCCTGCAGCAACCTGGAGAAAAGAGCCTTGCTCTAGGACACACCAGTGGTGACGACTGCAGAGATCGAACCAGTAACCTTCTGCTTACCAGCTCAGTGCTTTAGCCCACTCCACCACAAAAGTAATGAAGCTATATCATGAGCATGAGATGTACAACGTTTTACTCTGTGTAAATGTTTTACAGGTAGTGGTGCTCATGGAGAGCAGCACACAGATGTTTGGAGCAGACACAGCAGCAGTCAGATTGTCCCACACATGTTCTCCTCATCCTCTCTGTGCACTAGTTACTTGAAAAAAGTAATCTGATTACGTAACTCGAGTTACTTGTAATGCGTTACCCCCAACACTGCTAAATACACTTTGCAACATATTACATCAAACATGTTGGCCAGTTATTAATAATAATGCATTTAAAAATAATAATAATATTCTGTGTTTTTTCCTGCACTGACAATTTTCAGTAGCATTCCAAATAATATTTTGGGTCACATATTTTTTTATTTATTATAATATGACCAAACAATAAAAATATAAAGAAAGAAGCTTTCCTTTTTTCGAGAAAACTTCAGAAATACATCTTCCGCTGGTTGCTCCCATGCAAAGGTCAGAAGCGTGAAACTGTTTTGTTACATTTGATTTGAGTTTGAAAAACTGAATTATTGCTCCTAATGCAAACTGCAATACAAGTGAACTTGTGTAATTTCAGTGCATACTAGGGCTGCACGATTCTTGCTAAAGTGTGAATCACGATTTTTCTCCATGGGAATTGAGATCACGATTCTCTTACACAATTCTAATTTTTTCAACCAAAATTTATTGCACTCAAGTACAAAAAAAAAAAAAAAAAACACACAGGACTAGAGCTGCACGATTCTGGATAAATTGAGAATCACGTTTTTTTTATCTTAAATAAAGATCACGATTCTTAAACAAAGTAACTAAACAAAATAATGTGTGGCAAAATATGATTGCTGCAGTCTATTTAAAAGTCTTTAATTAATTTGAATGAAGTATTAACCATTTTAATATTCACTACCAGTCAAAAGATTTTGAACAGTAAGATTTTTAATGTTTTTTAAAGAATTCTCTTATGTTCACCAAGCCTGCATTTATTTCATACAAAATACAGCAAAAGCAGTAATATAGTGAAATATTTTTACTATTTAAAATAACCGCTTTCTATTTGAATATATATTTTAAATTGTAATTTATTGCTGTGATCAAAGCTGTATTTTCAGCATGACTACTCCAGTCTTCAGTGTCACATGATCTTCAGAAATCATTCTAATATGCTGACATGCTGTTCAAGAAACATTTTATTTTTATCAATATTTAAAACACTTGAGTAAATGTTTTTCAGGATTCTTTGATGAATAGAAAGATCAGCATCCATCTGAAATAAAACACTTTGTAACATTATACACTCTACCATTCAAAAGCTTATGTTACAAAAAAATCTTGAACGATTCTCTTGAATAAATGATTCATTCAATTATACATTTTTTAAGTCACTCTTCGCCACCTAGTGGCGAAACAATGCCATCGACACAAACGTTATGTGGCAGTTACTTTCAAATGCGGATTTGCTCTATTTTGGTCGCGCTACCATAGACATCAATGTTTATATCTGAATTATAAACTTTCATCCCAGTATTTCTGTGATAATATGAATGACTGTACGACAGAAAAACTACTGTGTAGTTGAAAAGACTGTTTGTGAAGCTGTTTCTTAACCAAACATGGTAACTGCTATCTCCGTGTCAGCGGCAGTGCAAACGCACATTTGAATGATCCGGTAACACTTTGTCAAAGGTGTAATAGACACGGGAGAATCGTTGTCATTTAGAAATGAGATCGTGTGGTTGTCTGAATCGAGATCGCGATCTTTTAACGATTAATCGTGCAGCTCTGGTGCATACTTTCAACTTTCATTGTTCAGAATTTAGCAAGTCAGAGTTTTAATTCAGGGCTGAGAGATATGTTTTGTTATACCTCATATCTAATTCTATATTTCAATATTCTCAGTAATAATCTAAATATTCATGTATGTTTTACATTCTGATCAAACACCCATTGAAATTGCTTCAAAATTGCTTCAGAATTCTTAAGAACTACATGCAAAAACTGTAATATTTAACTAAATATATTTTTACTAGGACTGTCAACTGATTTAAAAATATTAATTAAAATAACCCACATATTAATATTTGCTGAGAAAAGCCCTTAAAGGAAGACCTAGTCAAATGTATTGGTGACACCGACAGGAGTCATGTGCATGATCTTCTTTAGCACGAGAAATTAAATGACAAAGGTTTTTTGGTGTAAGAAACCTTGACTACCATAAGTGGGCCTTGGGGGAAAATTAAAGTGATAAATCTTGACCCCATATATGACCCCTTTAAATGTTTTTCTTTGTTATGATCTTTGACAGACTATGTTTCCAATACTGTGTCTGATCATAGCCGCTAGCTAACAATCACATGACAAGGACATTTTGTTTATTTTTAGCAATTGCTGTCTGTTGACCGATTGACTGCGAAATAACCCGAGAGGAGACAATCTTCCGTTCTTGACTGCTCCATGTATGTGACAGGTAAAGATGTCTTATATGCATATATTTGTTATTTTCATTTTAGGTAACTGTTTTTGCAAAAATAAGTATTTCTCTAACAATAAACAATTACCAACAAAAGTCAAAACTTAGGAAAAACATGACCTTTTTCTCCAACACACAAATTGTTCACTGTGTGAAGTTTTAATTTGCCAATCAAGAGCTGCACAAAGAGCAAAGCCATGTTTATATTCAGGTTTAAATTTAGTTTGATGTATGTGATTTCGATAGTTTAACTCATGAATGGTTCTTCTGAGTGAACAGTTAATTGTATACACCTTCAGAAACAGACAATTTAAACATTTTCTGAATGAACTGCTAATGTGCAATTAGATTGATTATATTTTATGAATGAATTTACAAAATGACTAAAGGGCTTAGAATAGAGCCTTACGGTACTCCAGAACAAAAACAGAAAACGGGTGTTTTTCATCTGAGCAATTTAGTTTGAGTTGACCAAAAAAACTAAAAAAATAATTTTCATACTCTAATTAGTTTATTTAAAGGTGCAGTACAGAAGATTTGTCCATTTAGTGGCTTAGGTATAAAACTACAAACTAAAAGCTGGGCTCCGGCTCAGCTTTACAGTGCAGATGAGTGTGATGGTTTGAGCCGTATAAGTTACAAAACATTTCTGAAGCACAAAAAACAACTCAATAAATATAATGACGTGATAGATTTGAAAAGACCAATTTTTTAAAACTATATTTAAGCATAAGTTAAGATCTATAATTAATATTAGACTGTTGTACGGATATGCAACAGAACAATGTGTTTAAAAAGAAAAATAATAGCTGCAATAAAAGTCGGCAACTTTTTGTCTCTCTAAGGCTACTTTTATTGTACATACCTTAAACACAATAATTTTATTTTTTTTTTTAACTTTTTCATAGTTTCATGTTAATTGGAAATTATGAAAATTACTATAATTTAAAATATAGTTTTGGACAAGGTTAAAACCATAACATCTATACAAGAAATGAAAAAAAAAAGAAAAAAAAAAGAAGCTACAATTCAAAAATTATATTATTTAGAATATAATTAAAAGTTAACTGCCAAAAAATAATTCTAATCTAAACGTAACCATCAATATAATCTTCACCTCCATCGTATGCAGTGTAACACTGACCTTGAAAGAGGGTAAGATCTTTTACGAGTCCTGGTCCAAACAGCCCCTCCAAAATGCTTTCGAACCCTGTGAAGCAGACAAAGGTATATTCTTATTAGCTCTGTGCAAGGTCTATAAGTACAAATCACACGTCTACCCACGTCCACCCCCACACGTGCACAAACTGCTTTCAATTTTATGAACTAAATCAATTCTTTGCCGATTTAATGTTGCCACTCAATTTAATTAACTGCAAATACTGGCTCAAGTGCAGAGTTGAATGAATACACCCTGAAGAATCTGCTAAAATGGGAAACAAAAAAAAAGATAATTATTATTCTGTGTAAACGTTTTATAGTAGTGATTCTTAGAAAGGAAATCTTGGAAAGGAATCAATTGCAATTTAGTCATCTGAATGTCAAGATGTGAATTCCTGTAATTTTGGTGCTTTAAAAAGGGAACAAATTTAAAGACATAATCTTTTTGAGAGGTTTACCTTGCTATAGCTAATGCAAAACACATTGCAATCTCCTAATTAAATAAAAAAAACAAAAAAAGCAAAGAAATCCACATAGATTTATAATAGCAGTCATCATAATAAAAAATAATAAGCATGAACAAAATAAAATTTTTGTGCAATCTCCAGTCTAAACCACACACTTAAACTTGAATGGATCATAGTGGCATTTTCTTAGGTTGTTTAAGGCAAATCCTTACAGCTTGTTCGATAATGTCCTTAGTTATGCTGTCGCAATGATTAAGAAGAACATAATCAAGTTTTTGTCCTTCAGGAGATGGCTGTCTTTCTGACAGAAACACAAACCGCCAGGTTTAGTTAGTGCGATTTACTATTCATCAGCTGTTCCCGCTGCAGTTTGCTTATAAAGCATGCATTCCAAATTGTTGCTGGCTACAAAGGAGGCTTTGAAAACAAAAATGAGCACTTAAAAATGTTCCAACATTCCAGTTCATTAAATGCACAGCATTACTGCTAAAACTGCAGCAGTTTTGAAGCTCTAGTGGATAATTGCATCGGTACACAATGATTGAGTACTGTACATAGAATGCAAAGATATTTGTGATAAAGCACAACATTATGTTAGTTGTTTTTGTAATTACATTTCAGAAATACTAAATTTTGACAAAAAATTAAATCATACTCTTCCAAAAATCCATAAACCCTCATTAAATTGACTTGAATTTATAAGTGATACTGAGTTTTGTATTAAAAGCTTGTGTAATTGTGAAATTCAGTGCTTGTTCATATTATAATTATATTTTATATTCATTAATTTTTATTTTATAAAAATGTATAAAATGTTACCAAATTTCTGTTTGGTATTTTTATCTAACATATTTTTTTATTTTTATTGGACAAAATAATGAACAATGCAAGATTTTTCTTGAAGATAAAGAAAGATTGTAAATTTTATATTCATCTGCTAAAAGTTTTTTTTTTTTTTTAAACTTCAGGATTTCATCCTCAAAGCTAACACACAATGACTACAAACTTCCAAATTTGATTTCATGGGATGTTTAAGATGGTAAAAAGTGTTAGTAATTATAAATCAAAACTGATAAGCTAATTTTATTACAAAAAAAAAAGAACGTTTACAAATGGCACATAAAATAGAACCTAAAATATAAGCCTTTCCCAAATAGACCAAAGTTTGGGTTGCAGGGTATTAATTATTCCGTTTTATCATCTGCAACATGGTTTCATAAGTCCTGGTGTAATATTCAATATGAAAAGCACTAGTGCAAGAGGCCTGTTAGAGGAGAACTGTGTGGGATATCGCCACAAAAGAGCGTCTCAATCAACCCAACAAAACTAACATTCATTCACTACAAAACTCTAAATCACCAAGACCCAATAAAGAATGCAGTGCATACATACACACACAAAAATTGAACAATCATGGTAAGGAAAGGTCCCATGGAGGGGTGCGTGAACGTACAGAAACAAGCCAATCAATTCAACATTAGGGAGGGTCACGTCAGCAGCTTTTTGTTTGAACTTCCTGGTGACCATTAATAGTCTATATATAGTGTAGTGGATGTATGAATAATTTACTTTCACTGGGCAACAAGCACGCATGTATCTAACCAGTAGATAAGATCGATATATCGTACAGAGTCTGAGTACTGCAGATGGTTGAAGGACACTATTTCCAAGCAAGCTTCCCACACAAGCTAACTGTTCAATATAAAATTTAATTAAATCTAACCTAACAAACTGCATATGTTTAATCTATATTAAGGACAGATTCTTTAGAAGGTTCGGCTACTGTAAAAACATAATCATGCTGAAATTAGCCTAAACATAATTAACTTGGAGTGCTTTGCTTATGTTTCTATATCCATGAACTACATTATGTTTTTTAAACAGTAACCTCATGCTATGTTCTTGTCATGTTCATGTTCATATATGTGAAAAAAAAAAAAGGAAAGAAAATAAGAATGCCACAAACTGGATGTGATAATGTCTCTAAACAAAGGATGATATTTGGCATTATAATTATTTTTAGCTGTGGTGACGGCATGTCAATTTAGATTTTTTCACACATTGGACCGAGTACCGAACCCTGAGGCACACCACTTGACATTTGGCCCCTTTAAAATGAACTTGGATATTAACTGCTTCTGAATTATTATTACAATAGTTTGCTAATATTTTTGATTCATGAATGTTGCTGTAGTGTTATAGAGTTTTTTGATGTTGTTTTATTGTAAATCAAATTGGTTGCTAATTTAGGCTTCAAATATACACTTTCCTAAAGGCTTAAGCTGTTGTCAATGTCTTCCGGATTTCTTCTGTAACATTTTAAGGAACTAAGCACCACCCAAGAGATCAATATCATCTTACATAAAGACTAGAAAAAAAAGAGCTTTCTCTCTTCATGAGTACAATACTTTCATTAAATCATTAAAATCAGCATATTGGAGACGGTGCACGCTTTCTTCCCCGTGGTTTATCTTAACCCTAAATTAAGCCAACTCCCTACCCCCAATCCTTCATACATGGGAGGCACAAAGGGGGTTGGGGTTGTTCTTGAGGGGAAATCTGTGTCAGATACAACCATCTCTATCTGGTAGAGCCATTCCATGAGACAGATACTACTAAACTGCCTGGCCGAAGGGAACCAAGACAACTTAATTTTTAGAGTTTAAGAACAAATCAATGAACAAATTGACCAATGTAATGAATATAATTTACTGAAACACACCTGTTTCAATACACACACACACACACACACATAGTTACTGTAGCAACATTTCTGATGGTAAGAGTAGATCGCCCTCTATCCAGCCCCAAGCAGTTCAAAAGACAAAAAAAAAGACACTCCAAAAAATATGTTCCCAGCCCTACCCCCACCCTCATTCTTCAGTCCATTGTTGTGTTTAAAGAGTAGTTTCTCCACATTTCAACTGCATTTATCCAATTTCACTCCGAGCATATTCAAATTGGGGAGGGGCGGAATAAACTGGGTCATTTCTCTTTGTTTGGTTAAGGAGTTAACCCACAAAAAAAGCCGCAGTCCCTGAGAAAGCAATCCTAATCTGTGAAGAACCTGCCATTGTGACCCTGACGGCTATTCTTTAAATTTAGAAGAACATTTTTCTGATAATTCTCTGACAGGAAGCTGACGGCTAAAATTCAGTGTGGCGGCACGCAGGAGTCACGCTGTGCAGTTCAACGATCCTGTTGGGGCCAATGATTTATTCAGTGCGCCATGTGCCAAAAGCAGAACGTCTAATTAATTATCCAATTATTTAATTATCCAACTGAAGGCCGCTGAAATGATTAGGAATTCAATTGTTAAGCTCAGGCTTAAAATCTTTTATTATTCCTTTGACATAAAAACAAATGAAATAAGATTTCAATGCGCTTCAATATTAGCTCAGCAAGAAATGCAGCAAGAATAATACAGAGCTAATTTGAGAGGTCTCACTATGTTTAATATGCCTTTTCAATACATTTAACAAAATGCATATCTAAATAATGCAAAGTGAAATGCACGCTGAAAATGTCAAAGACGTCAACACTACATGAGTAGTACATACTTGAAGTACTATATAAGTAAACAAATAATAACACGCTTCCCAAAAAGCTCAAATAGCTTGAGGATTTGAGGTATTATTCATGTCCGTGATACAAAAACACTAAAATATGTATTTAGTGTTGGGATTTGTTCAAACAAGCTCAAGAAAATGTCGCTAGACAAAATCTGATGTGAGAGTAAGGAATTCAAATGATTACATGCTGTCTATAATGTAAATATAAATAAAAAAAAGTTGTAATAAATAATATTTAAAAATATATTATAACATTTATTCATAAATAATACTAGTAGTATTCATTATTATTGGTTTATATCTTATTTTTATATTTTTTCAGCAAGTATTGAATGAGCTATAACTGGTTTGGGGCTGTAACAAATGATAAAAGATTCATTATTCAATCAAATGTTTTTTAAATGTACACTTTAAATCAAATTTAAAAGTAATTAATTGGACATCTATTTTCACATTTTTACTAACATAATTTAAATTCACAGATCATTATCTTCAACTCTAGATGCAGTTACACTTTGTCTCAATGTATTCAAACGCTTATATGTTTTATTCAGTGTTTAAGACGCTCATATTGTTAGTGGAGTAGAGCAGATGTTGAGGTAACAGATATTGCCTTGAAGATTTGACTGCTTTTACTGCAGCCGGAAAGATTCACCCTTGAGAAAGTAGATAGTAGATGAATGCTTAAAGACGTATCGCTCTCTAGGAAGCATTTCTTCTCGTCTCAGTCACCTGCAAGGGACGGCGTACACACATACTGTACAAACGAATGCTGAATGAACAGAGTGGATGTCGCCTGTGACTACTGTTGGTGACAATGTGATATCTATAGACTGAAGTTCTCTATTCGGTGAACTTCTACTGAAAGTGCTTTATAGGTTTCCTACGCTTCAATTCACACGTTCTGCCAGATTCAATTTACTTCAGTTCCAAATAAACTGTAAACACCGACACAAAAGCGTAGCCCACAGCAGAACGTGTCAAATGCTTTGAACGTTTCTAAAAAAAGG